AGATTGGCGCACCAATTGGTCGCAGTAGCCAGACCTGCACCGATCTGCGCCGGGCGGTATGTTCAAAGATGTGGAGGGGAGGCGCGGAAAGTTGCGGCGTCAGTCGGACGTCAGCGGAAGCCTCTGAGCATAAATCGTAAAGCGTCTGAATTTTCTGCATCTTTCGATTCTCACACTCCTGAACTTGGTAGGGAAGACCTCGGACTGTACGAGCCACTGGTGCGCAGAAAAGTTGGCCGCGAAAAAGATCAACAAAAAGGGAGAGCGAAGAGGTTAGCTTTTGCTGGGATGCCAGCTTGCATAGCCTAGAGGATATGCGCATCGCATCACACCCACGGGGATGATGCCGAGACCTGCAGAAAAGGAGGTGGGAGGGGAAAGGTAGAGCGGATGAGAATGGCAAGGATGCGAAGGTGAGCGGCCTGGGGGATGTGTTTGGAGTGAGAGCTAGAGTGCTCGAAGATGCCTCACCGAGCGCGTAGCAAAATATGAACAGCGTCATCTAGGTCGAGATTGTTTGATGAGCTTAGAAAGGATGATGAGATGCGCAAAGGGATGCGCTCTTCGCAACTCACAGCTGCCAAGCTGGCATAAGCCCAAGGACCAGGTGATTCTTGATCTCGAGCGTTCTGTCGTCCATGGAGCAGCGATGCAACGGAGCTCTCGCTGCTGCTGCTAGCTCCCGTCATCGTGCCCTTCAGCACATCCCTCCCATCCGTCACATCGCCCAATCGTATCCTTCCAATCGAGAAAGCGAGCGCAGCGAGCGCTATCGAACAAGCAGCCGTAGCGCCCAACAATAACCTTCTCCTACCCAATCGATCCACCAATCTCAAGGCGATCAACGTGCCCACGAAATTGGCAAGCGCTACGCCCAACGCTGCTAGATTCGGATTTGCGACGAATCCGCACATTTGTAGCAAGCGAGAGGAAAAGTATAGACTTTTGCGAGCGAGCGGGGCGCCAATGATGTTTTGGAAGAGGAGAGAAAAAGACACGAAAGGAGCAGGGGGGGCAAAGAAGGCAAAGATGGAGTGTAAGCCCATCTCGGAAAGCGAACAAAAAAGGGGGGGGGGACGTGCACTTCGTAGCATTTCGCAAGGCAGGGACGTCAGGCAAACTCACATGGAATTGGCGCCGACTAGCTGTTGAGAAGCTTGTAGACCGCAAGCCAACAGCAGAGCTTTCCTAGCCGAACGATCCGCCAAGAGTTGCCGAATGCCCTGCGCGCCATCCTTGCCGCCTGGGCTGCTCCTCCCAACAAGCGCCGCGATACCTTCAACTCCATCCAATCCCGTTCGCCTCTCATCCTGCTCTTGCTGCTCGGATGACGACGATGAAAGCTCAAAAGCTTTTAATTGCTCCTCGATCTGATCATCATTTGCTGAAGGGTACATGCGTGCCAAAGCTCTTCTAGCTTGAGCATGTTTGCCCTGGTGCAGCAACCAGCGCGGTGATTCGTCCAGGGCCCACAGACCTACGAGTTGAGCTAAAGCTGGCGGAGCTCCTGTAAGCACCATCCAGCGCCATGAGTGAGGCAGGTGATAGAAAGCAGCAGAGATGGCGTACGCCGTCACTTGTCCGCCTGGATGTTGTTGAAGATTGGAAAGGGGCGAGAAAAGGCAGAGTGGGAGGCGGATGCGTGGGGGGAGAGGACAATGTGCGGTGTAAAGCGTGAGGATGGCGTGGAGACGAGATGATACGAGACGAGACGAGACGCATGTCGAACTTACCAGTGACGAGCGCACTGTTGCTGCCTACTATTCTGCCTCGAAGATCGGACGGTGCGCACTCGGCAAGGTAGATGGGGATGACCATGCTAGCCATGCCCACTCCCAGACCCACAAGCACACGTCCCAGCACGAGTTCCCTGAACACTTGAGAAGCCGATTGTTCGATGGATCCCAAGAGGAAAAAGATGGAGGAGATCAACATTGCCTGCGTTGCGGGGGCAGCGCGCCATGGTCGTGGCGTTTGGCAAGGGCAGATGAAGAAGGCGGGATTGAGTCTGAGCCTCGTGCCGCGCGTTGCTCCCTCGCATCCATCTCGCATGCAGTCAGAGTGAGTTGCATTTCGAAATCCATGTCGCGCTCCCCACTCCCGACTGCTACTTCCGCTGCCACTCCCGCTGCC